TGGATGCTCTGTTAGGTAGCAAGAGTAGCTCTCCATCCTAACAGGGATAGCTCAGTGGTTTGAGCATTGGCCTACTAAACCCACAGTTGTGAGTTCAATCCTTGAGGGGACTATTTAGGGATCTGGGGCAAAAATCTGTCAGGGACAGTATGTGGTCCTGCTGTGAAGGCAGGGGACTGGACTCAATGACCTTTCAAGGTCCCTTCCAGTTCTATGAGATAGGTATATCTCCATATAAAAAATACCAACTCATGAAGGAAGTTGGACCAGTGCTCAGTGAAACAAAAAGATCAGAGAATCATTCAAATTAGGGATTCAAAAACACCTAAGTTATTGAGTCACCCCAGTAGGAGTGGAGAGTGGTTCCCAGAGCTGTGTTTTCTCCAGTCTAGTTTTCAGTGTCTGGATCAGTTGGAATATTTAGTGCTTCATTTGTTGTAGGATGTTATATTGGATCCCATTTTTCTTGGTAAAGTTTTGCACATGGTAGGACTTTTCCATATCTTCGACTCCTCTCCCGTAGTTCTTAGCCACTGTCATCTCCGTTCCACTGCGTCCATAGGTAGCCTGTCAAAATATCTTAGAGAGTTTTAGGCTTGAGCACTGCTTCCTCCACTCCCCTTTGACCTAAGTAGGAGCTGCACATGAATGTCCAAGGGCAGAATACAGTCTATCAAGTTTTTCCTACTGTCCTTTGATTTTCCTTGGAGCAGCTTGCCTTCCGTGTATGAGTCTATGCAGCCTAAAAGAAAAACACACTGTCTGTTGTAGTACAATCCAGCAATGTCTCCATGAACCTGCCTGGGAAAAAGATCTTTTCCTGTCACCACAATGCATAGAAATGTTTGCGTTCCCCACTCATTGGTGGGTAATATTATTCATTTCTACACTGAATGCTTTTGGGTTTAGTTACATACCACATCCCTGGCATTAACTTTGCACATTGTAATGCACACTGTATTACATTAAAAGCAATATTTGTTTGGAACATAAGGCGTTGGGTGGTGGGACCAAGAGAACCAGATAGATTTCAGCCTGATTGCTAAATGTCTTTAGTGCCTGAAAGATTGTAAATTCCATTCTTAGCTGTATGTGGACCCAGGTTACTTCCTTCACAATTTGCTAGCAGCTTGTCCAGAAAATGGGTAACTGCTTTTATTTTTGTCAGCTGTGAGGTCACATACTCATTGGCAATGAAGTGTAGTTGAAGATTTCCTTCATGGGAATTAATTGGGATAGTGCACCATTATTTAGTTTCTTTGTAGAGTTATGTAGACAAAGTCAAACAACCAGGATTAGTTAGGATAAATATTTTCAGTGGATGCATACAACACTTTCAACTGTACCAAATATTTGTTGTTGTTGTTTGTCCATTGTGCTTTGGGTGAGCAGTTTCATGTTCTGCCGAAGTAGGATTTTTAAAAAAAGCTTCAAAAGTTTTATCTCTGTTTTGATTTTCAGATACACAGAGCACTAAATTTCCGAGGGGAAAAAGTCACATTTATTTATGTTTTAACTCAACTTCTGTTTGCCAGACTGACATCCCACCCTGTAAGTCATGAGCAGAAGTCATTAAAAGATCTTCAGTTTCTGCCTTAGTACAATGTCTGTGGTAACAGAGCCCCATTCCTGCTCAGGGCCGTGGGCATTACCAAAAATAAGCATAATGATCCTATTGGGCCCTCGGAAGTACTTGAGCTTCAGCCGCTGCAAGACCTGTGGTGTGACTTAGCGGATAGAGCACAGGACTGGAACTCATCAGACATAGGTTCTATTACTGACTCTGCTACTAGCCTGCTGGGTGACCTCAGGCTAGTACTTCCCTCTTTGTGTGTCAGTTTTACCACCTGTGAAATGGGGATGATGTTACTGACCTCCTTTTTGAAGGGCTTTGAGATCTATGAGTTAGGTATCATTGTTATTTACCCTGTGCAACAGATTTGTGATGGCAGTTGGTGGGGTTTTTTTTTTCAGGATTTGGTTGGGTGGGATATTGGGGTGGCTGTTAATTGGGAGCTGGGAAGGGTTTTAACAGATGGTGTTATGTGGGGGGCACATTAGATCAGGGCACTTGTCACTGGGGGCTTATCTTTCAGAGTTGAGGGGTCATGGTGGTCCAGAATGGGAGGGAGTTCAATACAGATGCTGAGGAAGAAGTCTCCAAGAAGCCTGGGGTCTGATGGGGCCATGAATGGTGCTCACCCTTCAGGGAGGCCAGAGAGAATGTGAGCTACATTTGGCCTTCTAGTTTGTTATTGAGAAACATCTTGGGCCTGAAAATGTCCAACTCGCTGAGGATTAAATGTTCCATTCGTCCCCAGAACATGTGACCCAGGAATTAGATCTGTGAGGATTGCACGGGCTCTTTCTGCCTTTTGGGTTGCCCTTCCAGAGAACACCCCTGTGTTTGGATTTGAGATAAATCTCTTCAAGTCACCAGGGCCTGATGAAATGCATCCTAGAAAACTCAAGGAGCTGACTGAGGAGATATCTGAGCCATTAGCAATTATCTTTGAAAAGTCATGGAAGACAGGAGAGATTCTAGAAGACTGTCACCATATTTGCCCTTTTTCCAATCTGTAAAAAGCGTTATTTCCCAGAGAATTACACACCAGTCAGCTTAACTTCTATACCCGGAAAGATAATGGAGCAAATAATTAAGCAATCAATTTGCAAACATCTAGAAAATAATAAGGTGATAAGTAACAGTCAGCATGGATTTGTCAAGAACAAATCATGTCAAACCAACCTCATAGCTTTCTTTGACAGGGTAACAAGCTTCGTGGATAGGGGGAAGCGGTAGACGTGGTATATCTTGACTTTAGTAAAGCTTTTGATACTGTCTCGCATGACCTTCTCATAAACAAACTAGGGATATGCAACCTAGATGGAGCTACTATAAGGTGGGTCCATAACTGATTGGAAAACTGTTCCCGGAGAGTAGTTATCAGTGCTTCACAGTCATGCTGGAAGGGCATAACGAGTGGGGTCCTGCAGGGATCAGTTCTGGGTCTGGTTCTGTTCAATATCTTCATCAATGATTTAGATTATAAGTGTATTCTCTATGCCATTAAGTTTGTGGATGATACCAAGCTGGGAGGGGTTGTAAGTGCTTTGGAGGATAGGATTATAATTCAAAATGATCTGGACAAACTGGAGAAATGGGGTGAAGTAAATAGGATGAAATTCAATGAGGACAAATGCAAAGTGCTTTACTTAGGAAGGAACAATCCGTTGCACACATACAATGACTGCCTAAGAAGGAGTACTGCGGAAAGGGATCTGGGGGTCATAGTGGACCACAAACTAAATATGAGTAACTGGTAACACTGTTGCAAAAATAAGCGAACATCATTCTGGGATGCATTAGCAGGAGTGTCGTACGCAAGACACGAGATGTAATTCTCTACTCTGCGCTGATTAGGCCTCAACTGGAGTATTGTGTCCAGTTCTGGGTGCCATATTTCAGGAAGGATGTGGACAAATTGGAGAAAGTTCAGAGAAGAGCAACAAAAACGTTTAAAGTTCTAGAAAACATGACCTATGGGGAAGATTGAAAAAATTGGGTTTGTTTAGTCTGGAAAGAGAAGACTGAGAGCGGACATAACAGTTTTCAAGTACATAAAAGGTTGTTACAAAGAGGAGGGAGAAGAATTGTTCTTCTTAACCTCTGAGAATAGGACAAGAAACAATGGGCTTAAATTGCAGCAAGGGAGGTTTAGGTTGGACATTAGGAAAAACGTCCTAACTGTCAGGGTGGTTAAGCACTGGAATAAATTGCCTAGGGAGGTTGTGGAATCTCCATCATTGGAGATTTTTAAGAGCAGGTTAGACAAACACCTGTCAGGGATGGTCTAGATAATACTTAGTCCTGCCATGAGTGCAGGAGACTGGACTAGATGATCTCTCGAGGTCCCTTCCAGTCCTATGATTCTATGATTCCAGTTCAGACAGACCCTGAAATGCACCACACTGCCTAATTTGAATGTAAGATTAATAATCCCTCCTTGGGAGAGGAGCAGGTTCACTAGAAACTTGGCCCAGGATTGCTGTGAAGGTTTGCAGTCCTCAGGGACCCTTTGAAGAACCTGGGCTGGATGGTGGGTACTTTTACACAGAGCCCAGTACTGGGGACATGTGAAAAGCAGTGTTGCGTGTGGCACTCCATGCTCCTGGCACCCCTTTAGTGGCCATAGCTGTCAGTCATGAAGCCAGTTTTATTTTATATAAATAGGACAGTTCTGGAAGGGGCAAGGAGAGGCAGGAGCCCCGAGAAGATCTTGATGCATTTATGAATGGGATTATATGACTGTATTGACTGCTATATCGGGGACTAGACTTGATGAGCCAGGAGGTGCCTTCCAGTCCTATGTGCAGTGGTGTAGGGTTGAGTGTTAGTCATGGTTGGTAAAGGGGAGCAAGAGAATTGAGGAGACTGGAAACTTCCCCACAGCTTTGCCTGTGAGTAGCTTGTTGTTTAATTCACAACTGCATTAGGAGCCGTCTGTGCATGGAATAGCTTGACGTTTCCCAGTTGGATGCTAGCATGATTTTTTTTTTATTCCTTCATCATAAGCCAAATAGTTTTTGAGCTCTCACCAGCCCCTTGGTGTGACTCGCTCACCAATACTAGATAAAATACCTGTGGCTTTTAGAAATTGACTTTCCTTTGACAAACAGCGGTTTAAATTAGGGGGGAAGCGATCACACAAAACTGCAAAAGAATTAATGAAATACGCAACTTGGAAAAGAAGAGAAGTGCTAGGCTTGTTCTGGAGCCCACTCCCCCTGGGCTCTCTCTTCCCTGATTAACATGGATTGAAAAGCATTATGTTAAGATCCATGATTGTTATTAGACTACGTGGAAAATATGCAAAGTATTTGAAATTAAATTCTTTTTATTTAGGTTCTACTGTCAGAATTGAATCTTCTGTGCACTCCACTTTCCTACTAAATCCTCCTCCTCCAAGGGTTAATGGTGGTTGTGTTTTGTGTTTTAGAACAGCCTATTACACAGACTACAGGCAGGTGTACAGCATGGAATACCAGACTGTGTACAAGTGCTGCCCAGGATGGTCCCAGCTTGGAGGGGATGCCGGCTGTCTTTACTGTAAGTACCACTGCACACCAGTGAGGTTTTCTTCTCATTCCAATTGTCTTTGCATGCTTATTTCATGGCCTGTGCACTGCAGCAGATGCTATAAACCCCTGTTTTAGAAGAATACTTTCTTTTAATGGGAGGGAAAGTTTCTCTCTGGACTCCTGTGAAGTGGTGTGAGCCACTTTCTGTTTTGTATAGCACTTCCTCATTCTAACACACAAAGATGTTCAGGGTCACATTATTCAGTTACCCAGTTGCCAGACGCTACTAACATTTTAAAACATCTCACAATCTGGTGATAGAAACTGTCCCACTGGCAGAAGCTGCAGAAAGCTGTAATCTGAGTGGAGTTATCATTGAGCACAACATTAATTGCTGGTTATGTAAGTGAACATGCCAGTGATAGCTAATTTGCCCACCAATTCCTCTTGCTCAGCATTCTCTGGAGCTGCTTCTCACCTCTTTGTCCTAGGAGGAGGCCTTGGAAATGAAGCTTTTGAACAAATGAAGCCCTTGAACCGTTCAGATACCAAAACGTGCTTCACTACTTTGTTTCAGGAGCCCTGTGAGATTCGGCTGGAAATTGATGGACACTCAGCTGTGTGTGCTTCCTGTTTTGTTTGCCCCTCCCTGCACTTACAAATGAGAGAGAGAGAGAGAGGTTCATTCATGAATGAACATATAAGGGGACGTGTCTCTCAGACTATCTTGAAAAGGATCAAATGGGTCAAATGATTTTTGGTTCTATTTTAGGGTTTTTCATGCTTGGAATTCAGCTGGCTGAACTTGGGGCTCTCCCTACCCCTTTCTTTTTGGCTGATCTCCCCTTATAAAGGACGTTGGGACTTCTTAAACTGCTGGCGTTTAGTACTGTCAGGACCTCGACGGAAGGTGTTGGTGTCACATTCTCAGAACAGGAAGTTAACTGCCCAGTATGAATAAGCTGGGGTTGTGATATCTCTAGTGGTTTAGAGTGAGGGACTTGAAGTCAGGACTGCTGGGTTCTAGTCCCAGCTCTTCCACTGCTGTGCTTTAAGACTTATGGCAAATCACTCTTTGCCTCAGTTTAACCATATGTAAAATGGGTATAAAAGTACCTACTTCATAAGTGTTGCAAGGCTCCTTTAATGGTTTTTAAAATGTATTAAAATCTTTTGATGGCTCATGCTATGAAGGTGCAAATTATTAGTAGTATTTGCTGTGCTTTTATTATGGAACATGGTTGATTAAAATGGTATATTTGGATAGCTTGAAAAAAGGAAATATTCTCTTGGATCTCACACCGATCTAGCCAAGCACATACATAGAAATAAAAGTCACTAGTGAGGGAGTATCACGTATATTCTTCATGATTATATTATTAATTTCATGCTCAGTAACTGAATAAAATCATCAGCTCCTTTCTTAATTAGCATTGGGAGATGCATTTCCTACCAACGTCATTAAAATTTAGCTTTCATTAGAGGTGACAGGCCGGTGAACTAACAAAAGGGGTGCGTGCTTGGCTGTCTTGGCATCAAAAGAAGGAAAGCCAACAGTTTTCATATCCATTTTAAAAATGATTTTGATTGTAATTGACCTGGGGCGTTGGAAAATGTCTCCTACAGCTAGTCCTCTTTTGTTCTCCAGAGGGGCTTGCAGACCCCTTTTCTTGCACTTGGTTTGCTAGACACATCTTACTCTTTCACCCTCACTTCAAGAAGCAAATTTTTATTTTTCTGATTTAAAGGATGATAATCTAGGCGACTAAGCCCATTGTGTCAAAGGAAACTCTGTGGCTACTTAATAACCCAATGGCAGCAGGCAGATAATACTCTCAGCTGAACTCAGAAAAGTGACTACTGTAATGAATTTCCTATAGAGGAAGTGAATAATTCTATCCAGGAAGGGAGTAAGAGGAAAGGAAAGAGAGCTGCCTAGAGAAACCTCTTAACTTGTCATCCCAGCTATATGTACTGAAAGTCAAAGGTGTTGGAATAATCTCTAACTGCACTGTACTGTTTGTAGAAGAATTGATTCAGGGGATACTAAGCAGAGGGCATGGATGATGCTGGACTCTCATAAAGAATGAAGTATGTCTGGACCTTCTGAGAACAAAGGCATTGGGCTATTTAAATATTCATCATGTGCCTGTTCCTGACATGATAGGAGAACAAATGCCATTTACTTTCTTATTATGCATAAGTCAATAGATCCTGTTGTTCCCTTTCAAGTTTTGTTTGTTTGGGTATTTTTGCTTATGATTCCTGGGAGGAACAAAGCTAGAAGTTTTTGCTTTGTGCCTGCAATGGAGGCTGAAAAGCAGACTTCAAAGTCAATGATTTTCTCTTGCTTCCTGTTCACTAGCCTTGAGATTTCAAGGGGGGGAGGCGGGAAGGTGATTCAGGTAACCAGTTAAATTAATATTTTGGTGGGAAGGGGGGTAAATGTGAAAAAATAGGAGGCTTGTGGCTGCAACGCGCTCTACCATACCATCCTGTTGTCTTGGTTAACTCTGCAAGTCCACTCCTGCATCTCTGCTTTGGCTGTTTAAGTTCTTGACTCCCTATAACTCCAGCAATTCCACTGCTGGCTGCCTCTGTGTTTGGCTAACCCTGAGCACTTAGAGTATCCCTGTCACAGGCAGCTCATTTATTTTATCTCCTTTTTAACAGCTCCCAGGGTCAGCTTGGTTAGTCCTGGGTGTCACTGCAGGTGGAGCCAATATGGGCAGGAACTCAGGTTGAGTCCTGACTAAAGGAAAATGAGGCTGTTGCTACTCCAGAAAAATAAAAAAAGAGGGAGATGCCAAATTGTTACCAGAAATTAAGGTGAGGGATGAACTTTGATTTGTGGATGACAAGAACAAGGACCTGTCTGATGCTTTAGAAAAGGAAGGCTTTTGGGAGGGTCGTTGCTGGCCCAAACCCACTTCAGTAGAAATTCTGGCAGAATTGGAGAATCTAGAATGCAAAAGGGCTGGCTTAATAATGTGGAGCTGTTGTTTAGTTTGTGGCAGAAGGGTTTCAGTTTCCGAAGTCAAATGTTTTTTCACTGATCACATCTGGCATGGGCTCACATGAAAATGTGCACTGGGTTTCCAAGCACCTTTCTGGATCTTACATTCAGCCTTCTTTATTTTTTATCTTCAGTTTCTTTTGAGCTTAAAACTGTGTTTATACCCCTAGCAAAGTGAAAATATAGATGCTCCATCTCCTACGTTCCATATTCAATACGCCCATAGCATATTTCTCGCTTGTGAGGCTTTATAGTGGTATTTAATGATATGGCACGCACTGAGGTCCCAATAGTACTTCAAGGGAGAGCTGTGCTTTAACTGTGTTAGGAGACAGCTGTGTTGTAACCATGACTGCATTAGACAAGGACTATAGACTAGGTTTTTGGCCCCAGTTATAACATGGTTTGGTCCAGTCTGCGCTGTCTGATCAAACTTTGTTAGAACCCGGTGAAGCAACAACAGAGTGCTTAAGCCTGGTGGCTAAAGTTGGCACACCACTGTCAACCACAATAGGAGAGAGCTGCTGTTGTTTATCCTAAATGTTCTATCTACCCACCATTCAACACTGCTCTGTGGGATGGCAAGTGACTTGTATCCAGACTTTCTGCTTCAATCAGCAACATATTGTGATTGATGTATAAGTCTGTTGTTCTTTCATGTATCAAAATATTCTGTCCTGAGGGTGCCCTGTAGCATCTCCAGCTTTTTGGCTTGCAAGGGTGTAATTACTTTTTTGCCCAGTCCCCCCGTTCCCTAGTGTGAACCTTTTGTTTTTTTCTGGTTCTTGTTGAGACTTGTATGGATCCTTTAATCAGAAGGGGAGGGGTCAGGATGGAGAGAGGAAATGAGTTGAATAAACTGTATGAATGAAGAACTACTTTGACAGAGAAGTGTGCCCAGTAACCTGTGAATTCTGCAAGATTTGCTGTGGAAACTACCTCATGTAACACGGAAGGCTCAGGGCCTGGTCCTCAGCTGGTGTCAATTGGTGTAGTTCTGTTGAAGTAATGGAGCTATGCCAAATTATTTTAGTTGAGTGTCTGTTCTCAGAGATGTAATAGATCTTGTTCCTGCTCCATGCAGACATGTGGGCAAGGCCATCAGTGGTAAAAAATATAATTAGAACTATAAGGCAGAATCAAGCCAACAAGAACATCTTTTTCTGTCTTCCGATTTGACTTAACATTTCTTCACCGCAGTATGCTTGTTCCTCCAGGCATTTGAATGCTCCTTTACAAATCTCTTCGCTTGCTTTTGTGATCTAACCCCTCCGTCTGTCTAAAAGCAGAAGCGCATGATGCTCTATTACCGTAACTTTGTTCTTATACTCCTTGTGTTCTTATACTCGTGCCCATAGCTTAGCCATGCCTGTAGTTTCCCTCTTTCATAGTCATGAGGTAGTATCTGATGTACAATAGGATCTGCTAAATAATATTATGGGAGACCAAGGCCCCGGTATCTGCCTGGTTATTAACCCAACCCTGAAGAGTGTGCTTCCCCCAGGGCTGTATTACCTGCCTGGCAGGAGAGTGCTTTGCCTAGGCAACTGAGACCACACTCTGCCTCTTCCTTGTTTAGCAGGCTTACAGCTGACTTGAAACACTGAGGGCTTATTCCAGCCTCCAAAATGTGCTTGTCCAAGTATTTAGAGGTGTGAGAATGGCCTATGCAGTACCATCAGGCTGGGACCTGCTTAACGACCCACAGAGTTCAGCATCTCTGCTGGGAATGAATAATTAGGAAATGGATGGAAAGTTTCATAGAAACACCCTGTAAAATGTCACTTAAGGAAGAGGTCTAAAGAATTAATGCTCCGCAGAGATTTGAAAATTTCTTGAGGAATATTTGATTTCCGTGCTATTCCCCTCCCCCTGTGCCATTTGCAATTGTCTGCTGGACTTATAACTTTCCCAGGAGTTGTCAGATCTCACCTTATAAATGTGTAGTGCTCAATTCCCTTGTGGATTACCTGCTTTTTCTCCTCCCTTCTGCTCACAGTGGAAAACAAGTG